GCCTGCCTTAAGAGATGGCTCCAAAGCATCTTGACCTGATGGTTTAAACTATGCCCAGTGTTGTGGGAGAACCACCATACCCCAAGGATCGAGGGAGGAAGGTGCTGGGGAGCATCAGATCCCTGAGAATAAAGGCAGAGAGACCCAAATGATCCATCCTGACGTTAGTACAATGCAGATCAGTCCTTCCACCCAAGACCTCTATATAATAAGCCCAGTATTTTAGACTAAAGCTGTAACCCTACAGCGATATTGTGATTTCCTCTAAAACCTGGGAAAAAGCATAAAACTTCCAAGAGTTCCTTCTGCAGTGCCCAAAAAATGCTGACTGAAACTTTCTTATACTAGATGTGGCACTCAAGTCATCCCCTTGCTACGCTTCATCTCAATTAGCCAAACAAACTGAGCTCCTTAAGCCTGGAGTTCTGCTTTGGCAATCCCAAGCCATTTGTGGCTCTCCGAATTCTTCCTGGCATTTTCCCACCCTTTTTCAAGTGCAGACATCAACCAGTGTCCCCTGCTTAAAGGGAGATACACACACACCCTGCTCCTACTCACTCTCCAGAGCTGCAGAGATCCTTTCTGTCCCACTGCTCTATTGAGCACTCACTTTCACATGATTACACATGAAGACCCCTTAAATTCCCTCCCTGACACAGTGTTCCCCATGCAGTCTTATTTAGGCTTTAGGCAGAACCTAAACTTTGTTCCAAACTTTACTGCAGTGCATTCAACTGCCATAAATGAGGGAGTTTTTTGCATTGGAGCTATTTAATCAGATACCAGCCTACAAGGACTGATTATATCCTTACTGCCAAAAGGCGCGAGAAAATACTCCCAGCACTGGAACCCAAATCATTCCAACACTGCTCCTTTGTACCTTCTTGGTTCATGACAACTAGCACCTTCCTGAACAAAAAGTAGGAGCAAATGTGGACCATTTCCAATAACCAGCCGGTTACACTCCCCAGCCCGGAAAGCTGAAGAGTTTATGCCCTACGGATACATGCTGTGCCATGCCATTTGGCAAACTGAAAGAAAGCAGCCTTGGGTGCATCAAACCATCTCATCGTTCTAGAGTAGTCTAAAACCCTGAGTGAAGTCCCTGTTGAGGTCTGGGTAGAAGCCTTGCTGTAGGACAGGCAGGGAAGTGGGTCCAAGTCACTGCAAAGACAGGTCAAGCCTGGCCCATACAACAGGGATGTCCACTGAACCACCAGAACCTCTGAGTGCAGGGTGGCACTGTGTCACAAGCCTCATTTGGCAGGGAGGAGAGGGCTGCCGTCAGCAAGCGCCCTGCTCATGCCTGTGTTTTCATCCCACTGGGAAAGAAAGCAACATTACTTCAATTTTCATTCTGTTCCTGCCACTTGACTTCCCTCTTCTTTTCTCCAGTTATTGCATTGCTCCTGGGTTTCCCAGATTTCCCTGTTTTAACAAAGTGCTGTGTAGAACTGGAGCCCAGGGACTCTTCCACAGCCAGGCAGCTAAAGTGTGTCCCTGTGTTGCCAGCTCCCACAGCCCTGGGTTTGGTGGCTTGCAGGAGTAACTGGACACTAACAAAAGCACATAAGCTGCTCTTCCTCCCATTTTTGCCTTGTTGCAGGATCCCATGGTGCTCAATTCCCATGGGCAACAGAGAAGAGACAGTTGCTGGCTATGCTGTGGTGATGAGCCAGTCCTCAGATGTTTGTTAAATCAGGGCTGGCATTAAGCATCATTCATTGCTGTGGTTATTACAGGCCATAATAATCAACGTAGAGTTGCTTTTTCCACCCATACTGAAATTTAAGTAACAAGCCCAATTTAATTCTCCTTCTAGGACAATTTCAAAGCAACACAGTATGATGAAAGCATGAGAGAACAGATGGGTTTTGTTGTCTGCATGCTACCAAGGCTTTTCATGGAAACTCATAAAAACCCCAACACTGACTGTGTGATTCATAAATTCTAAAAGCCAAGAGAAACCAGCTAAATGATTTTGTCTGACCTCCTGCCTAATGAAGACCACAGAATTTCATCCAGTGATTTCTGCCTGAAGCCCAGTAATTTGTGGTTCAAACAGAGCATCTCGACCAGCCTACTGTCCAGCTTTGATGTGAGGACGTCGAATGAGGTGCTAACCACTTCCCATGCAGTCAAAAACTGACTCTTCTACAGGTTGTCATCATCTCTTCACCACTGCATAATTTGCCATAGCCTTCACAAGGACATGACCATTTTGGTGTGCTTTTGCCCTTTCTGTCAAAACTCTCAAGCCATCAAAAAAAAAAAAAAGGGAAAATGGAGATTCTGAAGCACAACTTACCAAGCAAGGACATGCCAAGAGAAGGGCAATAGAGCATCTCAACATAACCTTTTACTGTGGTCAAATTGATGAAATATATGTTAAAATGCAGCTCAAGGTCCACTCATTTTCCTAGTCTACATAACACAGTGGGAAAATTATCTTGGTTCAAACCAAAGGTTTTCCAAACTTACACCTCTTTGTGTGACTTGTAGAGAAAACACATTTATTTGGTTACAAAAGTAGTTCTTCCTGCCACTTCTAAAGCTTGCTACAGTTTCACGGCAATAAATATGTCCACAGCTGAGACCTTTAGTGGCCAGAGCAAAATCCACTTCAAAACCATCCCTTGCAAGACAGGCCCAGTAAAAAGACAGCTCGCTGCTGACTACACCTTCCAGCTTTTTGTTTCCAAATTTCTGTGGCTGGAAGCACTGATGGGGTAAAGAAAACTTCTTTTTTGCCTTTGTTTTTATTCAGGAAACAAACCCAAAACAGCAAACAGCCCAGGAGGCTACAAGACCAGACTCCTCTTAGGTGAAAAATATTCACATTGAGCACTGTATTACAACCAGCTCCTCCTTCCTTGTATCCTGTAAATGCAGCATTCAATGCCAACTCAGGTGATTAAAGTTCCTCCATTCACAGATGGACAACAGCCTTGAGACCTCTCTATAACATCACCTGTGTTCGAGGGTTGGAAGGCGCTTTAGGCACCATGTGTTAAATGCACTCCTGTTCCTGTGCATCACTAAATAACCATATTCACTGTTAATAAAACCAAGCCAGAAGTTTCATTCAGTGTCTTTCTCATTGCTGCTTTCAAGGAGATGCTTTCTCACCCTCTACATCTCACCCTCTGCCTGCACGCATGCTATGGCCAAAGCCAGGCTGCAAAGGAAGTTCTCAGGGCAGCTGTCTATGGCCCCATGGTTCAGCCTCTGCTGGGATGAGGGATTAGTGTTATCTGCAGAGCAGGTAAAGGTGCAGCTCCAGCTTGCAGACGTGCTGAGTTGGCTGCAGTCAGCATGGTGCTTCTGATGAAGGTGCTGAGTGTTTGTGTAGGATGCCACAGGGGGGTTTGAGGTCTACACTTAATTACATGCTGCAATAGCCATACTCCTTGTGGTACCCATGCTAGAAAAGCGATGGCAGTAAAGCCTCTGGCTGTGGCTTTCTCAGCCATCTATGAGCTCTTGCTATGTACATGGCACAAAGGACTATGGCAAAAGGAGAAGCACGCATCTAGAAGAACAGGACATGTAGGCTTATGAATAAGACACTCAAATAACAGGCCAAGTCTACACAAAGCTTTACCGCATGTGAAACTTCAGGCTGTTTCAAGGATCAGTTGAGGTTTAAGGCATCATCATTTTGTGCATGCTACCTCTGTGTTGAAGTGTACAGGTGCAATCCAAACTGCAGCAGCCTGCTTGAAACCGTAAGTACATCTGAAGCAGGAGTAGCTGCATCTCATTTCTGTACCCCATATCTGCAGAAATGAGTGCTGCTGTCATAATGTAAAGATGCTGTATGCCCACATAACTATACTGACACCAAACAGATTCATGCTTAACAGTGGTTCAGCTAAAAAGGTACTGCTGAAAAAAACTCTAAAGCACTGTTTTCTCAAGTTCTGGTAACCAATAGTTAAAGCTCTGCTTTCAAGTCATCCATCCTGAAGCAGTCATAGCAGGCAAAAGGAGCGATCCAAACAGCACAGCAGTGTAAGATGATGGGGTGAAGCCCCACCGCCAGTTTAGGCCTAAGTGTCACAGTTTCCATTACTGCTACTGTAATGATTTTGCAACTCTCATTTATTTTGCACCATTTCAGCTGCTAGTTTGTGTCAACTATTTTGAAATTAAAAGCTAAAAAAAAAAAACAACAAACCCAAAACCTCAGAAACTGCCCATCCTTGACAGGAACAGTCCTGGCATGCCTGGAATGTGTAAAACCACAAAAGAGCCATTTCTGTTCATATTACTCCTTATGAAATCCCCTTTTAAAGACAACTCAGCACTGGAGGTTTCAGCCACTCTGCAGAGCCCCATCAGCATTGCCTTTCTCTTCGGAATGGGGCTTATCAGTGGAAGCTCAGGCGGGTTTGGATGTCTGGCTGTTTTGTCCTTTGCTTGGAACCCCAGGACCGTTACACACACAGCAGCCAAACTGGTCAAGCCATTTTCCTCTCCTTTGTCCCCAGGTTCAGGGTAGATAAAAGCCGCACCAGGCTTGCTGCCCTACCAATGCCAATTTGACAGTTTTACATTGAAGAAAACCCAAATAACAAACCCCAACACTACACACAACGATTATCACTGTTGCCCAAAGGCCAGAGCAACCACAGTGTGATTCAACAAGAGCCGGGCTGCAGCGGGTATCTCTAGGCACACATGGGAATATTCTCCAGGCCATGCAGTTGTGCAGCTCTCTCCTGCTCTGACATGCCCTTTTCTTGCACTGCTTGTACAAGGCTTTCTTTGACCCTCACAACTTGCTGTAGCATCAGTGTGATGCTGCTGCTGGCAGCTGGGTGGGAGCCTGGTACGAGCAAGGCTTTGATCAGCCCCATGTACTTATAGGGATACCTACAGGGCACAAACTGGGCAGATGTGAGTTTGTTTTGCTGGAGCAAGGAAATGAATGCATCAGTGCAGTGCTGAGCATGACATCTCTCGTGGTGCCTCAGGATGGCCAAATACTGCTCCTGTTTAAGTTACTAGCTAATTATCTGCTGCCGCCTTTTTGTTTTCTACCTCTCTCCTTTCCTGAGCCTCCTGAGGGTTTCTGGGTTTGCCTTCCCATGTAAATCATCACTACAGGAACATGGCATTCTTAGTGTGAGGTTCACGTCTAGCTTGAACACTAGTGAGCACCAGAGCAGAGCTGGAACACAGGGACTGTTAACCCTGATTTCCAGCACTTACCGTCTTTTATTCATGCACTGACATGGAGCCCTGCAAAATGCAAGCACCATTGTAGCTCATGAGCAAGAGGTCTGGCAGGGCAAACATTAAAGACTGTAAGAAAGAGCAAGCAAAGAAGCATCTTGTACAGAACTGAAAACAGAAAAGACAAAAATGATAAGCAGGAATTCCCCAGTGAGCTGAGGTTATTGGTGTGATTGCTTTCAGGAGTCCTTTTTTGTTGTACCACCTTGGTCTGCATACAAAGCACCTCTAACAGGAAGTATCAGCTGTCCTAGAAAAAAAGCACACAAGAAGGATAAGGATTTTTTCTGCCAAGAACAGAATGGCTTTCATCACTATATGACATGCTGGAAAGCCTCCCTCCTCATGAAAGCAACTGGCAGCGGCACGTTGCAGCTCCTCCTCGCTCAAAGCTCTGTGTCCCATCCCAAGGTCAGCAGCACACGATGCAGCTCCTCAGGAGAGCTTCCATAGTTAGAAAACCTAAAAATGAAAGGAAAACAAGCAGGTGAATTGATTTGCATTCCGGATTCACAATTAACACAGCGCCAAATTAGCCCATAGGAAGTGGAAGGGTAAAACAGGAAAACCGCCAACTTGAAAATGCAAATCTTCTCCTTACTACAATTGCAAGCCACAGCCAGGATTCTTACGGGCTAGGAGGGTGCTAGTAAGAACACTTTTTTCACTACTCTTTCAACGTGGTCACTTCACAAACTCAACAGTGGTTTGTGATATGTGGTTTCATTCCTATCCCATATATAGTCAGCCACATTTCCTGAAAAGAACATGAACAGAAAAGCAGAAAACCTTTAAAATGATGATCTGGATCTTTCTGTCTTTTCTTTCTCCTTTTTTGTCTTATTTCTACCATGCTGCACTACAAAAGACACCATTTTTTAAATTAGTACATCATAAAATATGGATCTTTTCCCCAAGGCGCTTGGATCTTAAAGAATATAGGTTGCTGGTTTGAAATTCACACACTAACTCTTGGCAGCACAGAATGAAACTGCAGCATTTTGTTTCAATATGGTACACATAGATATATACATACAATTTCTCTACACATGGCTACCCGGACTCATGCTTTGTCCCCAGCAGCAAGCACAGCAAGCGAGATTTGGTCAACCACCCTTTGCCAATGGTATGGTAGACCTCAGCTCTCCATGGCCACCAACAGTCACAGCTCCACTGAAACCACAGTAGTGAGCAAAAACTTGCTTTACAGATGAGTAAGTGAGACGGTGTTAATTAGAACACCTGTGTTTTTCTGAAGAACTCAATACATTGCCTTATCTGCCCAGGCTTGGTACCTCTACCTGCAGGAGCCCATGTCATTAGCAGTGAGAAGAGGTCTTTGTCTCCCGAGGGCTCCTCCATGCTCCTCTTTCCTCCTGGCTGCTGCTAAGCGCTCAGGCTTTCCAATCACAGTGACAGGTCCTATTCAAGACATCATGTAAGCACAGCCCAGCATCCCAGCTGAGCAGCTCTGCCACTGCTCAAGAGCTGGGCTGACAGTTGTTGGGCCCACAAGCTAACTGGGACCTTAGCAAGGAAATTGCAGCAAAGACCAACAGTGTCCTGGGCTGCAGGAGCACAGTAACGTTACCGGTAACACAGGGCCACAGAGTTCTCCACAATGGTGTCTGGCAGCCGAATGAGAGACAACACGTATCATTTGAAACAAGAGTGGTTCAGACTGGATGCTAGTGAAAGCTTTTTCCACGTGACAACAGTCAGGCCATGGAGCTGGATGCACACTCTCATCATTAGAAGACTTCAAGACTTCAGTGAATAAAGTTAAAAGCAACCTGGTCTGATCTCACAGCTGACCCACCTGAGATCCTTTTCAGCCTGAATTATCCTACAGTCCTACAAGTCATCTTTTAACTGCCACCAGCTCAGGCTTCAGAGGAAAGGGTGGGAATCATTCAATGCTCAGGTACTGTGATATCCCCCAAGTGAAAGAGTTGAGAGGAACAACCAAATCCCAACACCGTGAAGGCCCAGAAGGTACCCCATGACAACATACCTTATGCTTCCCCCAGCATATGACAAACCCCAATTCTGCATGCAGTACCACGCAACTGTCCATCTCAGTTTGGGCATCAGGGTCCACACCCTATCTGCAGCACACACAAGAGCAGTGTTAGAGGGCAGTCAAATGTCCCTCTTCCCCTGTACATACACACATTTACAGAACAAGCAGGATTTCCTAAGCCCCATGTAGAGTGTTGACTATAGAAAGCCTCTCTGTACTGCCCCAGGCTGCAGCCTCTATTCCACAGGATGCAAATGCTCAAGATGCCTTCCCTGTCCCCTGCTAGCTGCAACGCTCTGGTACAACATGAGCAAGCTACACAGTCAGCACAGCCTTCTCCACCTCTCCATCCCTTGTGTCGCAAACGGTGCTGGAGCAATGTCTTGCTTCCAGTCAAAATAACTTATGTGGCTGAGAAACAGGAAATGTCACAACTGAGAAGATGAAAAGGGATCTTACAGACAGCGCTGATGAGCTCTGCGTTCTCAGAAGGATCCATACAAACCATAAGGCAACTGTCATGTGCTGGGTGGGCAGGAGAGGAGAAGATGGAAGAGGAGAGGTTCATCTCCTCACCCCAGGTCACCCAGGAGGTCAGTGGCAGAGCCATGAACCAACTCTTCCCCTTTACCCCAGGGTCTTGATGCTCCTTGGACTCTTCATGACTCTGCTTGACAGCCAAGCAATGCTGGGGGTAAAGCTGCCCTCCTCACACTGCACATAACCACATTTGGTTTTGGAGACCAAAGCCTATGAGATGCCAGCTCCCCACCCAAAGTCAGTCCTGACCAAATAGCATCCTTTAAAAACGCGAAGCTGCATCTGCATTAAGAAATCTGTACAGCTTTGAAGACGTGCTCTCCAACACATTTTGAGATGTGCTCTACTTTCACAGAGCCTTAGAGGGCTCTAAGGGTTTACCTACATGGGTTTTTTCTCCTTGGAGGTGAGACCAGTAAGCATTTTTATACCTACCTATTCACAGGTTTTTATTTTCAGGGTATCAGATCAGTTTCAACTTCTGCTGAAACTCCTCTGTGACCCAGAATAGCTAATTTCAGGCAGTTTCTGAGCCCCTGTAGTATCTTGTGGGGGCCTATATTTCTGTAACTGCACCCATACAAGGTCTGTACAGATCAGCATAAGAAACCACAGCTTCAGTCAAAATCAGTACCTTGGTATACAAATAAAGATTAAAAACCCCATCTCCTCCTCTATGTTGATAGGTGAGGTCTTGAAGTCAGATAGGCTTTCAGAAACAGCCTCCCCCTCTTCCCTCCATCCTCCCATTCCTCCATCCTTTGAGCAAGCTCTCAGGGCAACACTTTGCAGCCTTGTTTGCTGGAGGAAAAGGATGCTTTCTCTCTGGGAAGCCAGGAAGACTATGTCAGAGCAGAGCAGACCCTGGGCATGCAATTACCCAGGCAGCAGCAACAATATGTTAATTCACTGGATCCCTCTGAAATGTAGCACAGTGCAAGTCCCTGGAAAAAGTGAAAAGGAGACTGTTAAGGAAGCTGTGTGAAAGCCTTGTGCACAGCAGCCCCTTGGAGTCCAGACAAGGACGGACGCTGCACAGACATCGTGTTTAGAACTGAACTGGCAGCCAGTAGGACTCCTCTTTCTGCCACGGGGCATCCAGAGGAGCAAGGGAACCACCTTCAATGTGAACAGGTCACTCCTGTCAACATCCTGATTTTAAAGAGCTGCAGATACATGGAAAAGCCCCTGCAAGGGATGCCTCATCTGCAGCAAGTTCATCCTGGACAGATCACTGATAAGGCCATGATGCCATGCCAAACCCTCTCTGTGTCCAGAGCTTTATCACACTTTCAGAAGTGCAGTCTCCTCCTTGGTGTCCTCAGCTGCAAAGTTCACCTCTCCTCTATTCACACGCCCAGAGCTCCTTATGTACAACAAACAACAAAGCCAACGTAGCAAGGAGAGGAGAAGTCTTAAATGGTCCCTTGGTGAGTTTACTGTGACAAGTCAATGCCCTTAGAAGGTCTGCACTATCTGTGCATCACCCTTATGACTACTAACTAACTCCTCTAACACCCAGCTAGGAACTATGGCTCTGCACTGGCAGCATGATGGAAGTAGTCTCACACTTCTAAACAAGAAGGCTTGTTGCAGACAGGAAAACCTGCCTCACTCCACAGGAAAAGAGGCAGAGGAAGGGTCAAGAAGATCTCCATTACCTCTGTGTTGGACAGACTGCCCTGCTTTTAGCAGCAGCTTTCAGATGACTACAAACCTTGAGGAACACGCAATGATTTCCATCAAAGGCAAGCACATCTTTAAGGGTGCACAGACTCTTGGAGAGAGCTTTCTGTTGTAACTCATGCAAAGATCAAACTCTGCCAAGTGGAAGAGTTGCACACTAAAGCTCTTTTTGCATAAGGGTGTTGACCATTGAGCTGATGTATTGAGGTCAGAGGCTCATCTGTGCCCAACACACTTCTCCAGGGACGTAAGCATGGCATGCAACTGCTGCCCTGAGGAGCAAGAGGAAACCAGTTTAACTACAAGAAGTTTAAATTTGCCCTTAGGTTCCACCAAGACTCCTGGCTCCTGCAGAAACAGAATCAACAGCAGCAAAGATGTAACAAAAGTGGTTTTGAATCACAGAATGGTTTGGGTTAGAAAGGCCCTTAAGATCATCTAGTTCCAACACCCTGCCATGGACAGGGATGCCTCAGACCAGACAATGTCATCCAAGGCTCTGCCCAACCTGGCTTTCCAGCTTCTGCTATGCACTGGATTTTTTGGAGACATTTTATTTCTGAGTGCAGGACTACGACAAACCACACTGTTGGCTCTTGTTCAAAAGTGCATATGTGAGCATGGACTGACTTTTGCTCTCCAAGGAGAAGATGGGGAAAGCAAAGTGCAACAGTGAGCTGCAAAGACACCAGTGCCTAGCCATGAGCCCTGACCTTTGCAGAGGTCCTGGTGGCTGTCCCTAAATCAGAGCATTTCATTACCGGATGACGCATCTCAGGCAAGATGAGTTTCCTAAAAAGCACTGACGACACGCGGTTAAAAGCCCAGTTCAGGCAAGCAGTGAAACAAGTCTGCTTCTGGGTTTTGAGCTGAATATTCAACACTTTCCATGTTTGCTCACTCACAGGGCTGCACAATCAGCAAAATTCCTGCAAAAAACACTCAATAGGGCTCGGCTGTAATGGAGGTCTGTAATGGAGCCCTTTCAGAGAAAACAGAAGCGTTATCGTGCATGGCTGTGCCAGTAAAATTAGTCATACCTGATGGAGAGATATGCGTCCTCGCAGGGCTCTTACCGCCTTGTCAACAGATGAAGTCAAAATGAAAACATCCTAACTATCAAAAACCAACTTGAAAGCTGAATCATGAATCCTGAAAGCAGCCTCCACGCTACAAGGAGATGTCTTCTCTGCAGAGACAGCTGGGTTCATTC